AACTCTCATCAAATGTATAATCTTAATAAAATACACTAGCTCAAAAATTTACAGTAAAAAGAGGATTGAAATAAAGTTATGTGAGAGACATGAATACCAAGATTGAGTGGCCTTCTATTTGGTTGCAGTCCCCTTTAGTTTATTATGCTGTTAGCTCTAACTTGTTTTCGCAACTTCGTCAGAGCGTCAAGGAGACCTTGTGGGACGTACCGAGTCCCGTGTCCTCTGCCGTAGTATTTATGATTTCCAGCATTAAAACATTGACTTAGTACATACCCAACTTTTCGCCAGCATCGTAGTCGGCATCGCCAATGAGAGGCGCCATCGTGAGCACATAGTTACAACTTAACCAATTTTCTGTTCAACCCTTATGGCATCACTCTTCGCCCCAATTCTTTCTCCCAACTCCACTTCATATGGCCCATCCACTTATTCACACAATTCTGTGCCCTCGTTTCCTTCAATGCCGCCTAATAGCGCGTCGTTACAAGTGGGTTTACTGAAACGTAATCATCTCCACCACCGGTACCAGATGCCGTTTGCAGGGCTCCTGACCTTCCTTGTGCCCCCGTCTCCTACTCCACTTGCCAATTGGTGGCTGCTAAACATCAAAATCACTGTTAGGCTGCCTAAGAGCCTTCAATTCCCGTACTCGGTTACGCCATATTCGAGGATTTATAACAGATGATGCACATGTCAAGATCCATGCACATGTCAGTGCCTGGGATTATTCTTCTTCCTAGGCTTCAAACCAGTGACTTAATTATCCTCGTCCTAATCCCCACCTATATTATATCTCATTCTTTGGGGTCCTGTGTCCGGCTTGACTCGTAATCGCTGGTGTAAGAATGCATCGTTTCCCTTTTTCTCTTAAATCGCAAAGAAATCACTCTTCTCGTCTGTAAAGTTAACATTCCCATCTAATCCTAGGATACTGGAATGATGTCCGTGTGTGTGTTGCTTGGTATCCCCGGTGAACAAACCAGTCATCAGTCACCTTCCCTTCCGATGAGGATGCGAAAATAACACACGACACTCGCGCACACACACTGTGGACACCTTTCTAGCCCACCTATACCTTTAGCCTTTCATTTCATATCCATGAGTAAATTTTCTTTAGCCAATTCCTTGTCCAACTATTTTCACTGCAGCCGCCTTTTCGTGACACCCTTATTTCACATGAGACGCCCCTTGGTGATGTCTCTTCTTGACATTGATTAGTTTTCTTGGCACCAAGCGTCTTCTTTCTGATGTATTCGTTGAATCTTCATGTCTGCTCAGGTAGTACACTAGATTATAGTTGACTCTTCCCTCTTCCAATCTTCTGTTCATCAGGTTTCTATGACGGAGGTTGTCTACAGCCTCTCTGATCTTCCGTTTCCTGGTGTTTTCCGCATACGAGGCCAGTCTTTCCGCTGCATTCTAGTCAATTGTGTGGCCGGTAATTGTGATGTGTTCAGCTTTCTGTATCCATTTTTCTGCATAGTCGCTGGTGTTCTTTGATCCTTGTGCTGATTGCCCTTCTCTTCGCATGTGTATTTTTGTTCACAGTCTTTGCAGTTTATGCTGTAAACTCCAGTCCACTCAATTTTCTTGACTTCTTTCATGTTGTGTGGGCAAGTTGGTGTCCTCTCCTTCATGATTGTACGAATGTTCCATTTCCCTAGGATTGGCTGTAGCTTCCTAGTCATTTCGCAGGAGAGTAGACATACACATAGTTTTACTCCTACTCCTCTTGCCTTCTTTTCTTATTCTCTGTCCTCCTACATCTGTTCATCGCCATTAGAGAAGACATATATTGGGAAGAGGAGACAGTTATTTAAGTTTTTAGATTATAAATCTAGGCTTAGGCATGCATTGAGTCAGATTCTCAAACCGGAGGATTTCCTGAAACTACAAAGATGACAGACAAAATGGCGAAAAGGATATCGGACTTAATCATAAAAGGCAGTAGAACAAGCTGAATATTTATGGAATATATAGGCAGCTCAAGATCCAACCATCTAGAAAAAATGAGGATGCTGGAAATGGGAATCATCCTAATAATCGAGGCACACCAAACATCCACATATATGCACAATATAACCATGATATATAGATAATTTAACAGAAACAATAAAATAGTCCTACAAGCAGACAAAAAAGGTGTCACAGTGGTAATGGACAGAAAGAAATATACAGGGAAAACGGAAAATATTCTTGGGGACACTACAACGTATCGACTACTAACAAAAGAGAAAACAGTTAAAATCAAAGAAGCACTGCAAAAAATGCTGAAGGAAATGAATAGGAACAGGAAAATCGACAAATGGACAATGAACTCACTCATAGGAAAGGATGCAAGAGCAACAGTAGCATATGGTTGAGCCGAAGGTACACAAAAAAGAACCAGTAAGACTAATAATCAACAACAAACATTGACCGACACATAAATTGGTGAAATTTATCTGCCACAAATAATAGAAAGTGTATGACAAATTATGGAATCAAAGGCACAAGATTGGAATGAAACGAAATTCTGATGAGCTTTGATGTACAGTCCATTAAAACTAACATCACAGTAGGAAAGGCACTTTCCGCACTACTGAAGATCTTGGAAAAAGAAAAAGAAATCCTGGGGACGGAATGGATGCGTAGAGCTCCTCATCAGATTAATCAGCTTAACAATAAAAACGCCTGTTTAACGTTGAACGGCCGCATCTAAGAGCAAATATTTGGTCTGCATATGAACTTATCACTCACCTCTGTTGGCCAATGGACAAGTTGAAGTAGAATTTTTTAAAAATCCACCCCAGCAACCAACATTAATCATGCGATATTTGGATGACTATTTCGCAATTTACTCGCATGAAAGAGAAAGATCAGACGATTTCCTGATCTTCAGACAAAATAAATAAAAAAGTCAAAATGACCATGGATGTGCAAGTTACCATTCTTGGATGTGGAGGTCATTTACACCAAGGAAACTCTCAATAAAATACTCTTCCGAAAGAAATAGCATGCTGGAATAACTCTTAACATCCAGTCGAACCTTACTTATGGGAGGAAGATTGGAATACTCGAAAGTATGATCATAAGATACTTACGACTCAGTGATTCTGAGTTCTGCGAAGAGAAACTTGGAAAACTAACTCAGATGTTTCTTGGAAACGGATATCCAGAAGAAACAATACAACGCAACATACGGATGATGATGAACAGATGGAAAGAAGGCAAGAGGAACAGAAGAAAAAGTATAGATATGTCTACCCTCCTGCTAATTGGCTTGGAAACAGGGAGGCTGTGGACAACCTCCGTTATAGAAACTTGATGAACAGGAGATTGGAAGAGGGAAGAGTCAGCGATAATCTAGTGTACTACCTGAGCAGACTTGAAGATTCACCAAATACATTAAAAAGAAGACGCTTGGAGCCAAGGTAACTAATCAACAACAGGAAGACACATGACCAAGGGGCGCCTCATCAGGAATAGGGAGAAGTCACGAAAATGAGTCGTACATGGCATTGGCCAAAATAAATTCACTCAGAATTATGAAATGAACAATGTTGAACGATGTTGAACTATGCTAAATGATGTTTTGACGATAAAATGTGGCCAAAGCTAAATTTAAGCTGAAGTCATCAAATTCACTTCATAAAATATGTCCAAGATGAAAATTATAGTGGTGTTTGTACATTAAATCACGGAATAATTAGGTTGACCTCTATAGTGTAACATTAGATTACCATCGCAAGACTGCCTAATGCTGATTATAAATTTGAAATAACACTGGGTATTAGCTGTTGAAAATTCTGTACCATTATTACTTTGAAGTATATATTTTAAGCCTTTTTTACATTTAAATAGTTGAGGCACTGCTTCAGTGTAGAATATTTTGTACATAAATTAATACTATGATTATGTGTTTAAATTCACGTGTAAAGTATATGAATACTATCTTTCGCATATTAGATACTTACTTTGTTAAACCTTCGTAAGATGCAAAATGAAGCAACTGTATTTTCTTGCTTGATGATAAATACTACTTAAAGTGTTTATGAGATAAGAATTACAACTATTTCGGAATAATTCTGGTAAGTGTTTGTATCATGCCATTCTTATAAATACTCTATTTTATTTATCTCAATGAATGGCATACATTCTTCCAATTGACTTTTACGGTGTATACTATACCTTAACTAATTTTCTGTATTAAAAAATCATCTAATTTAGCCGAAATACTGGAAAATTAGGTAATCAGACCCGTAAGATTTGCTATTTAAGTTAACTTAATATTATAAACTGTGAGTATTCTAAATAATATGAGGTAACTCCAATTGATGAACTTGCTTTGGATATCAACCTAAACTTATATTTGCCCATTGAGACATAAATTCAGCTAGGCCAAAAACAGAAAAGGGATTTTTTGATGTTCCACCCTAAACCAAAGGAGTATGGTCGAATATGGAAAACTTCTGGATTCTGCAAAGTAGTCCTCAGCTCATCGTCCTGCGACCTCGATCAACCCGTGCTAAGTTTGGTCTGTACCGTCCTGATAGACGTCATAAAAGCAAGAATGCATACATTACGAAATAGTGTACAAATATCATAGACCTATACAATGAATTATATGTTCGCAGAGTCTCTTTGGATTTATCGTCAGGTATCCTCAAGGTGGACCATACCAACTGAGCACAAAAACTTGTAGCAACCTGACCTAAAACACAACGTTGTTATGGCTACGAGCACTTCACAACAAAGTCTAAGATTAAGGAGTATATGCAAGTTAGCGAAATAGCCAACGTCCTGAAAAGGAGAAAATATTTGTGGCTGTTGGATAGGCTTAAGCAGAGGGAGAGAAATGGAAGAAATAGGCATTGAACAAGAGGAAGCCGGATTGGCCTCGAATCTGGTTAAGAATATTACATTTCCCATGACATAAACATTACATACGCATAATAGTCAATAGCACAAACAAATAGGATAATCATACGCAAGTTTACTTGATTGGGGAGACAGCTGCCGCCGAATGCACTTCCAGTCCGCGAAGAAACTTTACTCAGTTGCATGCATGTAGAGTAAATTAGAGGTAGCAAATCGAATCATGGCATTCCGCAATAAGATCGCGAGGTAAGTTGTATAAAAAGTGACTAGGGTTGTAGCCGACACCTTTCTATTGGTTTAGTATGCTTTTGCTCTACTTCGTAATGTATGAATTCTTGCTTTGATGATTTCCGTTAGGGCGGTACAGGCAAAGGTTAAGTCAGTTTGATCGAGTTCGTAGGACGACAAGCCGAGTCTTCCTTACCCGGCAAGCCCCCTTCGGTTTTTGATGAGTGAAATCACGTATTTCATATAACCAACTTTTCCTTCGTAAACAAAGGTCATATCACAATATATCACTAAGGAATTCTTCGAAACACATTTTTTATTTATATCTAAGAAGAAGGAAAATAATATTAGTGAATTTACTAAGGTTACAAGCATTATACTATATAAAGTATGTTTCGTTTATAAGCAATCCACCCCGTATATTAATCACTTTTGGGAAAGCAAGGCTATGCGAAATTTAATGGAAATGTATGGTCTCATCATATAATTGTAGGAAAAATGCAACTACCACTCTTCTAAGCACCATAAACGAAATATGGTGAATACACCTAATATATATTTGAAGTATAGCCTAAATAGATATTAAAACAGAACTAAATCACATAACTTTAGTCTTCATACTAAACAACATTAACTATATTTTTAAAATTTCTATATTTCTGCTAAAAATCCATGTATTCTACCTCATAACAATAGGTTTCATCATTATAATGTATTTCAATTCACTTTAATCCACATTTATATAATGTACAAAAAAGGCATCACATTCTTTCC